CGACTATTACATGTTATTTAATAAGCTTTGCCTTCAATGTATACCTATTATACTCAACCAGTTCAAAGAGTAGATTGGAAAAGCTCTTGGAATACAAAGAACATTTATTCAAAGAGAATGTCATTAAAGCTTTACGATGTCTGACTCAAATATTTTTATGTTATACTAAAACAAATTTTTATACCTCCCATTTCCCAAGCAATTGTTATTTAAGTACGCGTTCGACATAATAAAGTTAACATTAGCAATTAAAACAATTACACAACTTCCTAATCTTGCCGAAAAAAAAATTAATTGTGACCATTTAATATTTCCGTCTGTCTGTCAGTTGAACCAGCCTATGCGTATATCAAGGGACCTTGTGGATTTCGGTTACAATTTCACAATATCCGTTGATTCTACAAACTGACCATTGTAGCCGAAGTGTGTACAGGATGTTTCATAAATATGGAGCAAACATTCCGGGGACCATTCCAAGAATACTTCGTCCTGTGGTGATTTTCGTAAAATTATATCAAGGCAAGAAAATGTTTATCCATTCATGTAGTTTGAATATAAGTTTGGTGTATAAGAGGACAAGTGGGATTATCACTTCAGCCGTAAAATCAGCGTAGAGTATCATGGGATCAAAAAATCAGCGGATCCGTGAAGATGAAGGCGTAATCTGGTCCATAAACAGCTTATCAACGAAAATAATAGGATAATCACTTGCCTGGTCAAGTACTGGTAGCATTAATCAGGCAAACTACCCAACCCCCTCCCCCCCCCCCCCACAAAAAAAGGCTAGAAACGCATGACGCTGCTCTGAAAAATGGCCATATAAATATTCCCGATGAATGGAAAGAACTACTATGTTCAACTTCAACAACGTTTGAAGTTTAAAGTTGCAACATATCTTAAAGAAAAATATAAGTTTAGCATTTCAACCTACCGAATTTTCCAGAATCAATAAGGATTCAAATATGTGGAATGCAGTATTGCAACATCCATCCCAGTTTTTACACGGTTTTATATTGAAAAAGAAAATGTGATATTGTGATTTCCAAGTTCACATATATGGTACCATCCTATCCTTTGCATCTTAATCAAAAGACGGCTGCTTCAACTTTTATAATCAAAATACGTACCACCGGCTGCCAATCTATGGTTCTATCGAAGGACCATCGGAGAATCCGAAAATATTGTTCCACAAGAAGTAGTTGGTACAGGTCATGATGCTTATGAGTCCGATTCATCGTTTTTATGTAATTGAGGATTTATTTTTGTTACAAGGTTTTCAAGTTGTTTTGGTTTTCCTCTCTTTGACTATTGAAACTAATTTTATTTTATTTCAATATAATGTTCGGGGCAAAAACCAGGTAAGTGCAAATGTTTAAAAAAAATTTGGGTTCATGTTATTTCGTATTAAACAGGTTTTTTATCACCTTCTCTATACCCTAAAATAGAATGGTTTTCTTTTCCATGATTTTAAAACAAAATATTACCTGGTTTTTGCACCGAGGTCTTCAATTGTACAAATATATAGAGAACGTTTTCACTCGTTGGTCTTTGGAAGATGCTGCAGTAAAACACCAGGAAAGGTATTCACATTCTCAAAAACGCTTAGTACTTTGAAAGTTACACGCAAATGTGAGGTTATTTTCATAGTGCGCAAGTAGATGGAAATCTGAAGACCGCAACGTGCAAATTTTTTGTTCGACTGAATTTAAACTTTTCATAGCAAAACTCAAAAATAATTTCTGGGCCAATTTAAAAATGTCATCTTTCTGGTCACACACTTCCTCCTTTTTGCTCTCTCCCTTTCTTTCTGTAAGCTCCCACGCAAAGGCGAAGAAGTATTGTAATCGTGAAACATTTCGAAAATGAGATTTTATGATTTTGGTTGTTATGAGAACTACTAAGAAAATACATGTCACTTGATTTCGTCAGTCCGCTAATCCTTGGCCTGTCTATAACTCGGAAAGAACAGATGATTAAATTTTCACACAAAATTACTACTATTTCAAGGAGGAAAAAGCTTAATAGATTTTAAAAATCGGTTCAGTGACGGCGGAACTAGCGGCAAAAAAAGACTGAAAAAATAAAATTCGTGGGGGCTGAATATCACTTAAAAAAAATGTAGGGTCCAGTGTGAGGAACTCTTCAATTCAAGGAATCAAAACTATCAATGTATGTATACTAAGTGACATATAAATCCGAACACCCAGTTTAAATGGTTTTATTTTAATAAAATTTTGTATAAATAAGTACTTAATGAAGCAGAATAAGTAAATGATAAAAATTTCAAAATGATTGCACTGCTTTAAAGCCCTTTGACCTTTAATAATGTGTGGATGCACCCTGATGTGCTACGCATTCTCCAACGCGCCTAGGCATGCTTCTGATCAGGTGGTCAATGTCCTCCTGTGGTATCTCATTCCAGGCAACCACCAACTCCTCTCGAAGTGCTTCTAGAGTCTGAGGAGAACGTTGCAAATTGAGCAATCTCCTACCCATCATATCCCACATGTGCTCAATTGGGGATAAGTCGGGAGATCTTGGTGGCCATGGTAACAATGTGACATCATTATGTTGAAAGAAGTCTATTGTGACTCTTGCAACATGTGGCCGGGCATTATCTTGTTGGAAAGTTGGATCTGCCAGGGTGTCAAGATAGGGTAAAAGATGGGGTTCTAGAACTTCGTGGATATAACGCTGCGCGTTCATATTACCTCTGATGAAGATTAAAGGTGACCTGGAACCATAAGCTATAGCACCCCAAACCATAACTCCAACAGTGTGATGAACATGTCTTTCAACAAAAAACTGTGGATTCCTCCTTTCACCACGTCGCCTTCTAACCCTGGCACGACCATCGTGCACGCCTAAACAAAATCGAGACTCGTCACTAAAGACAATACTGTTCCATTCCTGATCCCAGAGTGACCGTTGTCTGCACCACTCAAGGCGATTACGTCGGTGTTCTCGAGTTAAAGGGAGGACCCAGTGTGGCCGGTATGAAAACAAGCCAAAACTTCTCATTCGTCGGTAAACACTTCGCATGCCAATAGGTCTTCCGTGTTCTGCAAATCATTCATTTGCAATGGACCTGGTAGTGGAGAAACGGTCCCTTAAGGCCAATAATCTTAGGCGGCGATCTTCACGGTCTGTTGTTCTACGGCGGCGTCCAGTGCCCCTTGCTCTTTGCGTACGGCCTTCTCGAAGCCATGCCTGACAACACCTAACCACAGTGTCTACACTTCTTTGCACTCTAACTGCAATTGCCCGAAAAGAAAGTCCAGCTTCCCGAAGTCCCACTATACGGCCCCTATCAAACCCACTAAGTTGACGAAATCGTACAGGTCTCCATACTCTAGGCATCGTAACCGATCGTAAAGGATGTCAAGAACCAAAATCCGCCAACGTGATTCTTTACTGCGGGTGAAATATTCATTTTTAGAGCGTTAGTGAATAAAAAAAAAGCAGTATAAAAACCGGAATGTCCAACTGATAAGGCTGAAAATTTTTTCACTTGTTATTTACAGTAAGATAAATACATTCACCAAGTTTTATTAAAATAAAACCATTTAAACTGGGTGTTCGGATTTATATGTCACTTAGTATATTTTGTCGTATATATCAATTAACTATTAATTAAGAATGCGCACATAATTATTATCGTTCATTTTTTATAAGCTTGTGAGAACTTTTTTGCAATAGTAATGAATGAAAGTTCACGGAAAAGTGAATCTTGGAAAGTATAAATATATTATGCGCATTTCAAGGTAATTAGGTTAATTCAGTTGGAAAAATGCATCAAAAACGGAGTGAATGCAGAACCTCCGAACCATGTGAATTATTATACAGTCAAATTTTCTGATTAGAAATGCATAATATGCAAATTATACAATTGAACGTAATCGGTTTGTCATGTTGGGATCCATCTTTGGAAACATCCGGTTTCAATCATATGAAAAAAATGCGAGCTTATCGAAAAAGTATGGTTGTCTTCCTATGGGCTGCTTTGCTTAACGCTATCAGGTCGGAGAATTGCTAGTTGTCTTTCAAACTAGGACTTTCGTATTTTGTTATATTTCTTATATGGTAGACCTCAGAATGGAGAGCAAAACTGTCTATGTAACCAAATTGTTTTACACGGTTAGTTAAAGAGATATTATATTGGCTTCAACGAGTATTTATTTGCTTTCTCATCACTGATCATATCACAGCTGACAATCTCAGTATCTAAATAAATTTATTGTTTTACGTGTCCCATGTATGTAAGGGCCCCTGGGACCACAGCAAGCTTGAGGCCCGAGGCCAAAGACGAATCCAGGGCCTCATTTTGCCGCAGAGGAAAATTGAAGAGCGGTACTCAGACTTTGATTTTCGGTCATTTTTTGGCTCCCTATCAAGCCGGGGAGCTGAGCCTGGGCCTATCGAGTCAAGGCAAAATAGTGAACTAGAAGTGACCCCCCTTAATTAGTCTGTTACATAGCGACGAAATTTGTCATGACTGGTCATTCCACCATTCTAGGGACTTTTTCCCTGATCAGTCTTTGAACTATTTAAAGAGAGTTCTTGTTAAATATCTGCACTTATTATGCAATTATAGCGGATCTTTTTCCGATATTTGCCTTCTCATTTCACTTGTGCCCTGGTAACCACGTTACCTAATTTCCGTTCTTCAGCTCTTTGAAAGAATTAACGTAAAAATATAACGTAATTTCAAACGCAAAAGGCCAAGTTTCTTCAACGAAAGTAGGATTTTTTAAATTTCATTGGAAAATCAACTGTACTCAGTGCTTTTAAAGAATGGCATCTAATAAACTGACTCTTTGTTTTCCACGGCGTTATAAAATTTGTTCAGACCGCATCATGCTACCAAAAGTAGCAAACCTGAAAAAGCTCACAAAAAATCAACTTTTTAATGGTAAATCCAACTCAAAGTTGAAGCATGATTCGCTTTGTAAGACACGGTAGGAGGCGTGGATATTATTTAAAACTGAAGACTAACTTACAGACTGAATATAACTCCAATCGTTTTCGTTACAATGCCCATCTTCCGAATTTCAAGGCATCACTACAATCCAGTCCGATTACCAATTCAGCCACAAAACCACATAATATCCAATCATAAACAGGATCTACTATCCACATGTGCGATTACACTTTTAAGCTTTCATCTGCTTCAAGTCGTGCCGCACTTCAGTATTATGAAAATCCTTCGTAATTCTGGCAATCCTCTAAAGAAATCAACAGTTAATCGTTCATGTTCCACCTGACACCGGACAAATGCAAGTCTACGTGTGTCCATCCGAAAAGAAGAGGAAAACCTCGAGCAAATCAAGCGTGCGTTGACCGATGCAGCAGTGCCGGTTGATCGTCAGCTGTTCAAAGCTCGGCTCGCGCTAGCCCATGGCCTACCGGGATAGAAGAACGGACGGCGCGCACTCACTAAAAGTTCGGCGAGAATGAAAACAGAAGAGCATCAAGCCGCGTTGTGGCGTGAACGACGCCGACGCGTTGACGGAAAAACGACGCTTGGCTCAACGTGTGGCTAGGCGCTATCGCAGTTAGCCACGACAGGGGTGGGGATGATTGTAGCTTACCGCTGAGGATAATGTGAGCCCCATGGGTTTGTTTTTAAGTTCAAAAGGTCTGGGAGAAGAAAAAATGGCATTATGATTTTGGACTACACGTGGCTGCATGTATAATAATAATAATAATGTTTATTGTCACAAAATACAGGTAAATATTAAATATTGTGTACAATAAACATAAATCACCCAAAAAAGTTTGCACTTGTGTTTGGGTATGTTAAAAATAAAAACTAAAAGTACAGTCAGTGCATGAAAAAAAACTAAATACTGTATAATTTGGTGAATCGAATTATTATAGTGATGTCAGGAAAAATATCCAGACAATTATAACTAAGGCCCGTATCGTCAGTCGTCCCTACAACTGTAGGGCGCCTTTATGGCCTCCTTGATTGTCATAGTTTTCTACTTCTCCGTGTCAGAACTCTATTTTGTGGTTATGTCACAAACATCTATTTGCATCAAATTGTGCTTGCTTTTGAGTTATATCATGTTTTATCAGCCTGAAATTTCCTACAATTTAAAAAGAAAACATATCTTCACAATGACACGGGACAAGTGTAATCTAGAAATTTTTGAAGGAGAGAAAGGAGTATGACAATCAAGGAGGCCATAAACGCGCCCTACAATTGTAGGGACGACTGATGATACGGGCCTAAAGTAAAAGTATGGATGCTAGTGTAAGTAAAATATTATTGATTTTGATAATGATTTTTCATATCTACAATTTCGTGGATTACATCAACCTTTTTGTAATTATTATTCATAACGCCCTCCAAGCCAAAATTGTTGCTTTGTTAACTTCGCGCATTTATTCGCACATTGTTTATTTGTTCAGATCTTCTTTTAGTTATAGGTCTAAGTGATTTCAAATATGTATTTTTTACGACTAGAGTGTATCTAAAATGTTTTTGAGAAAATAAATTGTTTTAAAAGTAAATAGTTTCGTCATGTTTAGTTTATAAAGGCATATTTTGGTACAAATCTTGAAGTGGGCCAACTGAAGTGGGAAGGGGCTCGTATTAGCATTTTGGGATAAGAAACTCTCAACCTTTTCAAAGCAGATTTCTAATTAGGAGAAGACGAACATAGCTTCATGTCAGATAATTTTTTGGACGTGGAAGTGGGGCTATCTTCAGCTAGAATACTTTAATCAATTAGTCCTACTTTTCAGCTCACGTTCTTCTTTATGCCCCATAGGACGATATGGTCTTAGAGGCTTACACTTACACAAAATGACCGCAGATTTGAGAAAGATCTGTAACGTAAGAAAAGTCAGACAAGTTTGGATTTGTAAAATGGAGACAAATCGGTGCATTTTATAAAGTTTACATAATGAAATAGATGTAACTACATCTGGAAGTGGACCAAACCACCGCAACCCATAAAGTTTACAGCCTTGCAATAAAAACTTTGTTCTGACAGAGTAACTCAACTAAACAACCCAGTCTTTTCTAAAGTAACCTTTTCATCTGGAGAGTTAGAAATCTGTTACAGATTTGAAGAGAAAAGTATCGATATGACAATCATAAAACGTCTAACACGAAGATTATAAAAATGAAGCACTTTGAAGTAAAAGGTAAAAGCAAAACATTTTACTTCAATTGGTATCCATAATCACCACAATTTTCCCTGCAAGGTAATGATTCAAATAAATAAAGTAAAAGGTAAAGTTATATCATCAAACAAATCATTAGAGATGGCAGCATCTACTGTCCTCTAGGATATCGTTCCGTGCCCTTTGCATGATTTCACGCATTGCTGAATTCTTCTTTGCGCGATAATCATGAACAGATTCCAGACCAACAGTTAGAACAAAATTCTAGTGGTACATTAAGACTTGTAACACATATCCGATTTACATATTTGTCTTAAAATTGGTCTGGTTTTCCAATGCGAATGTGCGCGCAGTAAATAGCTGTGATAGTTGTTGGGAAATGGAACCTGGGGCCGGATCAAAAATACATTACGGCCAGGCAACTCCGAAATTAATTTTCACGAGCAAAATTGAGTTAGGCCTCTGATCAACCACTTCTCCTTAACCTACATGATTTAATTTTCTGGCCCGTTGCATCAAGCACTCCGTGAAACATTCAATTTATTGTTTATATATAAACTCAAAGGCATCATATGTATGTAACATGATCTATACAAAATAAAGGATTCAAATTGAAAGTAAAATATTCGAGACCCTGTAGGTTGCGAACATGCTAATCCTTCAGCAATTCCGGTTTGGGTTCGCATTATTTTGCGTTATTACGCAGAAATACTTCAATTTCCTGCAGAGGAGCCAAGTCTGCTCCACGACTTTTGGGATAAACACCAAGAAAGTGGGCTGTCAACCATAACACACTCTCATCCTCAAATCTAAATAACGATTTGGAATCTGATTCACACGGTATACGTCTTAGTTTGTAGTATCTTCTAGTACGTAAATGCATCTTATTGGCCATACTAAACACAAAACTTTGACCACTCGATATTACACAAGCCCTTCTTGGCAGATTTTCATATATAAAAGCACTTATGAATACAAAATTTTGCATTGTAAGCTGTGTGATAGCTGGGCAACTACCGAAGAATGAGAAAAGTTGTTGTGAACCTAGATTACTTTCTTTAGAATCAAATGCTTTAGTTTCTGGGCAAAAGCTTTTTTTTATAAATACGAAGCACCTAAAACCTCTTATTTTATAACAAAATCTTCGAAGCAAAAGCTCTTCCATCCCATTTTATGGACGTACCTTGTAGAAATTGCTTTATTTTTTTTAAAGCAAAAGATAAGGCTTTTTTAAATACGGCCTAATGAATCAATTGAAATACGTTGACCAATGTCACGAACAATTGGGCTTGAACTTGTTCTGCAAACTTTCATAACTCTAAGTTGTAATTTAAACAACAACGATAAATATAGAGCAAAGACATAACCACCTTTATTCTTAACATCAAAGGCTACCGCTAAACATACTTAGAAAATATTAACCGTTGCAACATTGTTATAAAAATGAATGTACGCAAACGTAACGATGAAATAAATTGGAAGATGGTTTTCTCAGAGTGTTGTATTAGTGAGTTAGAGGTGTTTTGGGATAAACAATTAGGAATTCTCAAAAAACTATTTGTTGTTATTTAGAAGTACGAATCCTACGAATTTGAAGAATTTCAAGTAGTTGCGTGAAATTATCGTCGCATTACCAACAAGTGCCGAAACATAACATTTTTGCTATTAGTCGGATCTTTCCACGTGTGGTCTATTTTTGTAGGTCTCTTAAATACCTCAAAAATCTTACATGAAAGGTTTTTCGTTCCTGTCAACACTTTCGATTGAATCCCAAAAAACGCATTTTCTCATTCTTTGTTGTCAAATAAGTTCCCACAAGAATTGGTGTTCCCATTGTATGCGCCCATGTTTAAAATACCCCCTTGAACAACTTGCACCAAAAAAAAACAGACTTTACAATTATTTCGGGGAAATTTGCTAATATGATTAGACTATTAACCCTGGACAGCGCTATCCCAAAAAGGATTCTCGTTTATTAGAACAGCTGGACCGTTGGAAAGCAAGTGCTTAATTATACCATCGTCTGGTTCGTATCCCTTACAGGAAGATGTGTGACAAAGTATCATATTAGAGAGAAATTTCTTCGGATGAAGGTGTACACCAGCAAGATTTTTACGTAGTTGTAGTACTGTAAGATTGAAATTCACAAAGATATACGCATCAGGATAAATACTGGAACAACTGACAAAAAAGGATCTGCTGACTCTACAGTATATTCAGATAAGAGATAGACCGGACATAAACAAGACCACGTGATCATCGAACGCTGTAACATTCGGCAGGGACGTATTAAGAGTCACGCAGTACATATTTTAGATAGTAGATGCTGCTTTGCGTAACTTTGTAGTAAATTAGCACAATTCGATGTGTATACGATTGGTGATGGATATAGGATCATGTGGGGGTGGGGTTAGAAATATATAATGATGTAAATATACATAAGGGTTTCAAAATTTTCGCTTCAATTTCCAGCTTCGGATGCCGCCTGATGTTTGGTGAAATACAGTCGAATATAATCTCAAAATGGCGTTTAAATTAGCCTAAATTAAAAATAATCGTATATCTCTTAAAATTGCTTTTAGAATATTGATTACTATATTTTTTGATTTCTAGGTAAATATGTAACCAAATTAAAACGTTCAAAACGTAAAAAAATGTGCATGGTTGAACATTGTCAGAAAGTAGATTCTTGAATAGGTTTTGCCAAAATGGGTTCAAAAATGTCAATAATTAATTAAAAAATACAGTAGCTTTATAATTACTTATAACTTACCGAATTTGATGAACGACATCTTTTATTGGAAAGATGAGCTTGATGAGCTTTCATCATCGCTACTGCCTGAAGCACCAACGTCAATAATGAATGGCTCGACTTGTTCCTCTAAAATATTGTCCAGTTTCCACATTCTCTTTTCAACTTTGTCTTTCACGTGCTTAATACAGTTTTCCCATTTTTGCGCTGTTATTAATTCTAGTGCTTCTTTGAAAAGTCCTTTGAGGTCACAAAATTTAAAAGTTGTATTGTGCTTAGCTATATAATTTTTAATGGGATTGAGCTCGCAATGGTATGGAGGTAAACGGAGCACAGTTTTATTTTGACTTGCTGCCATTTCGTCAATGGCGTATTTTTGATATTCCGCCTTGTGATCCTTGACAATTCTTAATAATTGTACTTTCAGCATTGCTTCTTCAAAGCGGAGCCAATTTTGAACATCAACTTTCCTTGAAGCCGTTGTTGGGACCTTCTCCATTCTTCGAGAATGATAAGGCGCATTATCCAACACAATTACTGCGTTTTCCTCTAAGTTCGGTAAAATTTTTGAAAACCACTGTTCAAACGACACCACAGACCGTCAACAACAAATCCATCCTCA